TGGTGGGCTTCTAAAGATACAGCAGGAACCACATAATGAAATTATGGATGCTTAAATTGTCCACTACCTTTTTTTTTCATTAGTACAGTAACTGAAACTCACCACACTCCAGCTCATCCGACCCGTCCTTACAGTCCTCCTCTCCATCACACACATGACTGTATAAAACACACTCTGTTCCATCCCTGCACGGCTTTGAGCCCATGCGGCATTTCAGGACATTCTCTCGAGTTACAGCAGACGACACAGTCGGACAGTCGACCTCATCCGAGCCATCGTGGCAGTGAGAGCGACCGTCGCATACAAGATTTCTGGAGATACAACTTCTCTGGTCCTTGCACTTGAAATCATCTGGGATTGACAGAAAAATCAAGTAATTAGTACGTCAGTGGCAGAAACCAGAAACCGTTTGCTGCTTACAAGGAGGTATGTGGTTCCAGTGTTTATTATGATAAGAAATCAGATACCTTTAGATGGACACGTGCCAACACAAAACTCCTCATCATCTCCGTCAGGGCAGTCCTTTTTGCCATCACACAGCTGGGCTTGTGAGAGGCAGACTGACGAGTGTCGGCACAACAGAGATGGTTCGTTGCAGAGCGGAGCCCTGGGCACTATGAGAACATTTTAAAAAGGAGTTAAACTTTCAGAAACTGCTATGAGCTAGTACTGCTTTACCTTTAGCTGAATAAGAAACCTGCTAAATTGCTATTAAAAAGTCTCTCTAAGCTGGATCTGTTATATAGTCTTAGAACAAATGAGACAGGACAGCTACTGTGGATGAACAGAAAGACTGGCACCACCTGCTTCAACAAAACGTACAAAGAAGTACCCAAACCAAATTCAAAAAGCTAAATAATGCTCAGTTAATAACCCAATTAAATGAACTGAATAAATCCTTTTTCTCTTTCTTTGTCCCACCTGTCTGAATGTCCTTGAGTGCAGTGATTACGCTCAACACTGGGCCTTTCACGGTTACTTCCTGAATGGGGCTCCCGTTGCGCTGATCCCACAGAGTCATTACATCGTCAGAAATGGACAACAGGAAGGGCTCGAAGGCGGCCGCGACGGAGCCCGAAATGTTCCACCTCCTTCCAGCTCGGTGGCTGCTCTCTCGCAGCAAACTCAACGTGGTCAGACCTGTAACAGGAAAAACAAACTTAACAGGTCTGCAGCATGTGAGAAATGGCAGCAGAGTTATGATTTATGACTAGATATTGTGCACATATTGGGAAATGAAGAATCTTGGAACACAAAACACACCCAGATTCTAAATATATTGAGTGTTGGAGCAAACTGCACGACCTCAAGAGTTAACATGAATCACAGAAGGATTGCACCATCTTCACAACACTTCAAGCATTTTCAATGATAAAACTTGAATATGAAGCACATCATGAAAGCACACTCATCTGTTCTTTTCTTTCCCTGCAGGAACACAAACAAACCTTGACATAAAGACTCATCAGACAAGTTAAACCTACCTCTTTGCTTCATAGCATGCCTCTCATCTTCATCTGTAGAGTCATGGTTTCCAGATCTTACTGGTGAGACACGCAACCATGCAAAGATGAAACTAACCTGTCCTCCTTGAGTTCCAGAGCAGACTGCTGGCCCTGAGGTCGAAGGCGATGTTCACCGGGAACCTTCCCGCGATCTGCAGCAGCTCTTTAGCTTCGCCTCCCATCACGCTCATGCTGAAGATTCGCTCCTCCTCCAGCCAGAACATCCCGCCCCTCAGCCAGTCCAGATACAAGCCCTGAATCTCTTTTGGTGTTTGGTACAGCTGCTTGGGGGAGTAACTGTCAGCTTTGGAGGTGAAGATGCTGTTTTGGTCACAGGACACCCAGAAAAGGCTTCCGCTCCTCTGGTCGACAGTAATCAGACAAACTAGAAACCAACAAAGAAATAAGTCAGAAGGAAGTGTGTTGACAGTAACAAGTTGGTCTACGGTGGAAACTCTGAAACTGTTTTTAATTTGTTAATGATTAATTTAAGGATTATTTTCAGGAGAGCCATGGGAAGCAGCTCATTGTGTGCTCAAAGCGTTAACCTGGCAGCGGTGTCGGGATCACCTCCGTCCTGATCTGGGTCAGACTGGTGCGTTGGACGTGACCAGTTTCATTGGCCCAGTACAGCCAGTCTCTGTACCAGTCCACATCAAACGACAGGATGCTGTCGTCGGTGGTGAACAGCTGGGTTTTAGTGACCTCTCTGCCTCTGAACTCCAACAAGTTGATGTCTGTGATGGTGGCGTAAACAAACCGAGGATCTGCAGGAAAGAAAACAAACATAACGACAAGATCATAGTCACTTAGACATGAAACTAAAAATCTTACTCCAATAATAACAAAAGACGATCTGTGACAAATAAAAGCTGATTTTTGCTTTACCTTACCTTATACAAGCAAGCTTTATAAAGACCACAAAAAGAAACTAAAAATATAAAAATGGCCTTAATAATACCACCGCTAACAATAAATCAGTTTTGTTTTAGAAATTTTATGTAAAATTTATGTTATTTGTCTTCTACAAAAAAAAAAAAAAAAATGCATTTATAATTGGGAAATTTAAGTTTTGATTAACCTACATTCACACTTTCCATCCGGCAACAGTACTTTGGAGTCGGGACAAGCGCAGGTGAATCCGACAGCGTTGCCTTTGGTCAGCTGGCAGAGCTGACATTGAAACGTCATGCAAGCAGAAGGACCTGATGACAACATATTTTATAACGTGAGCACCTTTAGGTGTGATAGAAACAACAATGACGACCAAGAAGATGCATTTACACCATTATTCAAAGCATTCAAATACTGTCGTTATGTTACAGACTTCATTTTAAATCAACAAGGTAAATAGACCTTATATTGCAGATTTCTTCTGTATTTAAAATATTCAATCAGCCAGCATATTGCAGACTAACATTAACTCTACTAAGCACCTTGAGGCTGCTGGAGCTCGTGGTAAACAGCCAGCAGCGGCACTTCAGCTTTCCAGATAAACTTCCTGTCGCTCGGCCGGTCCTGTGGAGTCTGCCACAGTCCTCTGTCGTCAACCCAGAAGAAGGAACTTTCAAAGACGGCGAGGCTCAGAGCTGGTCTCCTGCTGAACAGTCCTGCCAAAGAGGAACGGCCGGTTCCATCCATCTTCACCGTCTCTATGGACTGAAAACAACACATTCACTGCGTGAAACGTAGTGATGAACTTGTCCAAAATTCATAGTGAACGTGCACAGAGATGGTAGTAGACATAATAATGCTTCAATCAACTTTAGGAACTCAGCGAAGCATAACTCTTAGCGTTAGCATTTACTGGACAGATAAAAGATGGTGGCCAATATTCAGTTGTTGTAACATACAGTTTGAGCATCTCATTATGAACAAATGGCATTAATGGGAACCGTGGAAGCCAAGACAAGGGCAAGAAGACCAAGAAAAGAGATTAAACCGGATATCTTGCAGGAAAGAAAGGTACAGCAAAACCCCCATGTGTCTTCAGAGGACCTGCTGGAAGAGTCCAGGAAGCAAACCGGACCTGCCACCTCCCCACAAACGTCAACATCTGAAGCACACAAAGCAACACTGCACTGCAGAAAAGAGAACGTATAATTGGAGATAAAAGGAAGCAGCATCTGATGAAAGAACACCTCACTAACTGAAGCACTGGAGGAGGAATACTTAGCTTTGGATCTGTGTAGCAGCCAGAAAAAAAAGAAAAATAGAGGAAAGAACAAACTAAAATATCAACAAATTCTGGGTGCAAAGAGTTGGCTTCTACAACATAATAAAGAACCAAAATCTAAGATGTGAACCACGTCAAGAAATCCAAACTGAAGCTTTAGGAATGACCCTCAGAGTCCATCTTAAACATTCTGCGTGTGAAGAACAGCCTAAAAATTTCAGAGCAGCATCTGAAAACATAAAATTTGTCCTGCATGACCAACATGAAACCACCTCGAGCCCATTCCACCACATCTGCAGCATCAGATCACTTTAAATTACTTTGACTTTGTTATTTTCCAATAACTAAAACAAATGAGTGTCTCCTTCCAATCTGCATGCGAGCAGTACAAACGCATCGACCCAGGCCGAGTCGATAAGCTCTAATGTGTTTCCTTTACCGTCTAAAACTCACCCTCTTGAAGTCGCTGATCCAGTAGAGCCTCCTGGCAGCGACGTCGGCAGTCAGGCTGTGTGCAGACTGAGCAGTGATGACCGCCACAGAGCTTCTGTCCGACCCGTCCATCCACGACTTCTCCAGCGTCGCCCTGTCGCCTGGACCCGCGTTGATCCAGAACATCAAGCTGGGAGGCAGAGAGCGTTAATCAGCACTATCTGTTTGAATGCATTCATGACGCGTCAGTTTTTCTCCAGCAGAGTTTGTGCAGAAACAACATTTCCTCAAGTTTCATCAAATATAAACGCTAATTTCTCGTGCGTTTTGGAAAACACTAAACGCCACATTTGGCCTCGATCAAAACATTAACTCTACAAAATCTTGAATTTATGATTTTAAAATTAAATCGTATGTAGCAGAAAAGAATAACAGCCCAGCATACCTCTCGACAGGAACAAGCACCAGCTCCGATGGGCTGATGTTCTTGCTCAGCACACTCATGTAGCTTTTCCCATCGGCTGCCTGCATGTAGATGGATTTTGTCTTCTGATTGGTCCAGAACAGGTTTCCGTTTAGCCAATCACAAGCTAGACCTCTGATCCCAGGCTCTCCTGTTTAAAAGTTCAGCAATTTTTGTTCCTTCTGCAGCTTAATGTGAGGTTGAATGTACCAAAACCTGCATAGAAAGACTTTTTGGGCCAACTAACCAGTATAGGCAGTCCAGCTGTGCTGTCCATCGCTCTTATAAATCTTGCCTTGGCTGTCGGCCCAGTAGCACCACCCTCGGGCGATGTCAAACGCCAAAGCCACGGGGTCGACCGCTGAAGTCTGGACAACTTCAAACTGTTGGGACTTGACATTCAGCAGCACTATGGCTCTCTTCTGCACCATCAGCAGTCGAGTAGAATTACCTGGAAAGAATGCAGTCAGTGTGAATACTTAGACTGAGCTAAATCTAACCTGCTCATTTAATACTACTGTTGAATTAATTACATTATATATTAAGCATATAAACTAGAACGACAAGTGTAGAGATTTAAAACACTGAAAGGAAAAAAATCAGCTTTACGTGCACCGATATAAAAAGAAAGATCTGTTGTCTGAGGCCGTCACAGGGCTGCAAAAAGCCAACCTTTACATTTAGTGTGCATCAGATGATAGAACGGCCGACAAAGTGCAGCTATAATTTACACTTTCACCTAAATCTACAACATCTTGTGCTGCTAAACATGTCAGATGATCATTTCTTCGTCTGTATTTGTGATCTCCCTCCTCAACCAGTTTTTATCAGGGCATGTTTACACATATCTGTGTGTGTCTCTGCATTGTAGTGAAGTTTAACGTCTATATTGGCTTTAAAAGGGGAGTTTTGCAGATGTGGTGTTGTAGCTTATTTAGACATGAATTAGTTTCAGTGCACAGTCCTCCTCTCCCCACAGATCCTCTCTCGTGAATTAGTCCTCCAGCTCTACCTGAACAGTGCACGTTTGTGTGTTTTGGAGGAGTGACTCTGGACGTATACCTAAAGGAAGGAGGCTTTCTGGTGGCATGCTTTAAAAATCTAACTTTCTGTTGCCACAGTTCTGCATGCTACAGGTTTCATATTTCATCATTCTGGTAGAGCCAAGATGTCATGTGACAGATTTCCATTTGATGTAAACAGCTCAACAGCTCCCTCTTTGATCTCAATCAGCTAATCTTTTTAACTTTTGTCACTGGATTATCCACATCAAAGCTTCGGCCGTTAGCGTGACAATTATCTTTTGTCCAAGTGCACTCTGTGATGTGTCCTGTTGGGTTTGATCTATTCAGAGGATGAAACTAAATCCAGAAGAAGGTTCACGCTGTACAGCTGAGACTCGAGATCTAGACTAGAACCCTTCGCCAGCACTATGAGGCTAAAGGGAATATATGTGTGTGGGTAATGTGCACTGCAGATCTGGATTAAGGAGGAAGACTCATTACCTGAAGCCAGACACGTGGAGCTTTCCGTCATTCTGAAACCCTCTCTGCAGCGGCAGTAGAAGGATCCGATGGTGTTGGTGCAGTCATGCATGCAGGGAGCAGAAGCACATTCATCCAAATCTGAGAACAGAGTTGGGTTTAGCTTCACAACCATCAAAAACAAAGTGCCCAGGATTCAGAGAGAGACAATTATACAGCTGCAAATATCAAATACTCCTGAGGTCTAATAGAGGAGGATCCCAGTTCACAGTCTTTTGTTAACATCCAGTTTCTCTGTTTAGTTTCTGTGGTGCAACCTTTAACACAAAGTCAGTATTAAAAGTGATTCTCAGCCTTACACACCCTCACAGGCTGCTCCGTCAGCAGAAAGCTTATATCCAACGGGGCAGGAGCATAAAGCTCCCCAGGGTTCATCAGTGCACACATGGCTGCATCCTCCGTTGTTCATGGAGCAGATACGACCTGCAGGAGGAGCAACATCAGGCGTCAGTCGCTGAGCGTTACAGAAATCCATGCACAACGAGCATTTCATAGCTTCACATCGTTCTGAACGAGATAAACATCAGTATTTTCCATCAGGCTCACCGCAGGTCATGGGCTCATCGCTGCTGTCGGAACAGTGAAACTTGCCGTCACACCGCTGCTCAGCAGATAGACACGTCCCATCAGGACACTTCAACCCGTCCTCGCTACACAGACCTGAACAAAGACGAGACAACCGCTGCTTGTGATCAACGGTTTGTCATGCCTGCCCAGTGTCAGCAGCCACATGTTCCCAACATTATTTAACATTTACTCAGACGTCAACACACAAATCCATATCTTGTAGTCATCAGTGGGAAATATGTTGTGATATTAAGTAAAATTCTTTATCCCTCAAGTTGAAAGAAACTTTATATGTAATTTAAATTTCTCCATGACTACAGCGAAAAAAAACAAACATTAAGACAAACTATAGAAGCATTTGTTTGCAAAGCTGCATCAAAAATGAAATAAATGATTGAAGATTGTTCAGATAAAAGTTTGTAAATGTGCTTAACAAACTCACAAGCAGTAGGTTTAATTACTGATTGGAACAGTGGTTCATCCAGAGCAGAATTACCAGAACCAGACACTACTAGCAAGTCTGCAGAGGTTGTGCATCTCCAAATCAGGGAGGAGGCAACCGAACATTTCTGGACTGCTAGATGCTACTAGAGGGAAACACGAAGATAGCACGATTTATTTTATTTTGTGTAAGTCAGAATTAAATCCGCCATGTGTCTCACCACAGTCCTCTTCATCCGAGTTGTCCGTGCAGTCATTCTGTCCGTTGCAGCGCAGCTCTTTGGGGATGCAGATGTGGTTCCTGCACATCCAGTCCGAGTCCAGGCAGCCCTCGGTGGGGGAACAGTTCTCCTCATCGGAGCCGGTGGGACACTGCTTTAGTCCATCGCAGCGGGCCGACGCGTCGACACAGCCAACAGAGTCCACGCAGGAAAACTGACCTGGTGGACAGTCAGTGGAGCCTGGAGCTGCCAGAGGGAAGAGAAGAGAACCGACATTTTAACTTCAGGCAAAGCACATGTACCTGATGTGATCTTCTCCACTTACTGGTGATTTCTGTTCTGTTCAGTATCTGTCCAACATTCACAGAGAAAATACCAACTATAGAATGATGAAGAAATTTGAAATAACAGGAGGAATACGGACCTGTGCAGCCCACTTCATCAGAGCCATCCAGACAGTCTCCTTGTCCGTCACACCTCCACACATCACGGATGCAGTTTCCATCATCACACTGCCACTGGCCCTGATGGCAGCCTGAGATTTGTCCTACAAGAAACAAAACTGAGTCTCAGAGAATATTTCGATCCGATTGACAGGCTGGAGGAATCTCTACATCAGACCAACAATAGGCCTCCATTTTTAGATCAAAGAACTTTACTTTTCCAGACCAGCTGCCTGGTACTTCATAAAAACCAGATGATGTAAACACATTACATTTTGTGTTCTGCACCATTTTGCTTGTAATTTATTTTCACTGCATGCTGGAGCGAGAGCTGAGGAACGTTTTTACAACCAGAGAGAGGTGTTTTTTAAATAAAGCTGCCAAGCGAACGAGACATTTCATTTCTCCACAAGCTGAGTGAGCAAAAAGACTTTCAAACCACGGCTCAGATTTGTGATTCATGGGTCCAGAATCAGAACTTTACGACCTGCATGTAGCTGCTATCCTTAACCCTTTAGTCCAACAAAGAAAACAACCCATGTGGTAGAGACAAAGAGGAGCAACAGAGGTGATGTTGAGGCAGCTCAGAAACTGAAAAGTGCAAACAGAAGTATTGGGGAAGCATGAGCGCTCACAGAGAAAGCTTACCTTCTAAAAATGTGACTTTATTTTACCTGCAATAGTACTTTAATACAGAAATAGGATTGTTTGCTCTTTTGAAAACCCACAACTGGTCTAATAATTGTAATTAGAAAACCTGTGTGTGAGTTTAAGCACAGCTAGAGTCCCATAAAGCTGGTGATCCTGAACATTCACCTTCTGAACACAAGTAAAAACCCAAACAAATCCTGGAAGCTTCAGGAAAAAGCAACTTGACTCGACTTTTAGGTTTTCTTCTGGACTTTTCAACAAACCCAAAAAGGGAAGTCCAGTTGTGTTTCTACTAAGGCTCAAAGGACTCTTACTACCCTTTTTTATTTATTTTTTGTTTAAAATCATAAGATCCGAGGAAAACATCCAAACTCGTCGTCAGAATCAAAACACACCAGATGAGTTAGGATTGTAAAACGTCGTTACCTTTGCAAAGTCTCAGATCTGCCAGAAAAATCAAACACATGAACAGGCCCAGGTCCATGTCGGCCCGCACGGCTCATCGAGACGAACAGTGTCAGCTGAGAGGAAACGTGTTATCAGCTCCTCCTGCTGCAGGTGTGCCGGCGCATGGGAGGCCTCTCAATCACAATGAAAAAATAATTAAAATAACATAAATAAACGTAAACACGATGCTATATATCTCAGTTACTTATGTTTTTGGTTTTTTTTAAATTGTATTTTAATTAATCTCATGTTTTTAAAGCGATATCTTTTTCCAAATAAACCGCATGTTGAAGGCGTGGCCAATAAAAAAAAAACTGTCCTATTGACGCCATTTCATTTAAGCGATGTTTGGGGTTTCCTCACAACATTATTATTATTATTATTATCTTACTTGCAAAATATCCACTTTATTCTGGAGGTCTGAACCTTTCAGTGAGGTGTAGCTCGCCGTCACAGCGTCCCTCTCGGGTCGGATGAGGCCGTGCGTAATTGGAGAGATTTTGTGATTTTTACGCATGACTTTACGCAGCAATAGCAGCAGCTCTGTTCCATTCGGGGACACTGTCGGGACCCACTCACATGCCTCACGTTTTGTTTCTAGTACACTTATTAAAGACATACTCATTTAAATCACAACGCAATATTCTGATCATGTCGTCTACTTGTTCGCCATAAAGTCGCCGATACATGCTTTGAGTCACCTTTTGACTTTTTTTTATTTTATTTTTTTTAAGTTTTCTTTTATGTGATTTTCTCACAATATAAAACTTTCAAAGAACAACGTTGCTTCAATAGCAGTTCCACCTTTCCTTTGTCATCAAAAGGATAAAAGCTTTGTACCAGTGCTCCTCTGACTCTTTGTTCTTCCCTTTGAGGTCAAGTGTGAAGTTTGTCCCATGATTGGGCGACCATCAGTGTGCTTTCATGTGAATGACTTCTCAGCTTTTCATGTCATGTAGTTCTGTTGTTTCATTAAATGCTTTCATGTAGATGTCCAACATTGTCCAGCTATTAAACTAAGCTAATGTTTGATTTATAATGTGAATACCCACTTATAAATGTGTTGCCATTGATCCAGTAATCACAGAATGCGTTTTATGTTTACAATAGATGTTAGAAGTCAGTTCAGCACATTTTGTTTATTTGTGTAATAATTTGATTTCGCTTATTAGACTCTAATATGATTAATAATTGCATTAAATGGGCAAATATCCTCTTGGCCAGCTAATTTTCTGAGTACAAAGTAGCTGTTTATTTTTAACAATTGACGGTTATTTTACAGATTTGAACAGTTCTGTTGAATTCAGGACAATAACTTGTAAAATCACAGAAATGTGTATTCAATTATATGTAACAGTAAAAAAGAATGTACGAGGAAAAAACTGTAAATAGTGGCACATCAGACATCGCTACTCATTTATTTGTTTTACAAAGTTTGCTATTTTTTTATGCTGTACAGTTTCCTTATTGTAGTTTTCTGTATGAAGTTTTCAGTCAACACATTTATACGTTTCTTCCTGATGAATACTGACCTGAACTTGCCTCCAGTTTTTCCATGAGTCCTCTAGCCTCCGCCCAGGATGACCTGAGCCCCACACTCACTGATTAACTCCCGTGTTGCCTCCTCGTTAATCATAGCGCAGCTCCTAATCTCCTTAACTGACATTATGGTCACAGCATCTTATCAAAGCGATCTCTCATATACAAAACAGCAGCAATCAGAGTGCTGGCTCCTCCAGTTGTCCCACCTCTGCCACTACAAAGTTGGTTTCGATACATAACGACAGTCGCTTTTAAGTCCGCCGGATCACAGACGCCATTCATCATCTGCAGCTTCACAGATCTAAAGGAGAGGCGGGGGCGTATAAATCCCAGTCTCATCATCTCGTCCGCTGCATTCGGATCTGCCCGTGGACACGACGACATCACACTTGGGAATAATGAAGGGACTATTCGTGGATTTGGTGCTTCTTCTCGTTCTGGTGGATTTGTTTCTGCGTCTTGACGCACAGCCGCCCCTCCAGATGCGTCCTGACGCACTGCTCCGAAGCACCGACGGTCGGTCCGGCGGCTCCAGAAACCCGGTGCTGCGGCACAAGGGCAGCAGGTTGCCCCTCTACATGATGCAGCTGTACCGGACCATGCTGGCCGAGAGCCGGGCCAGGACTTCGGCTGTGGACGCGAGCCAGACCGAGACCCAGGAGGACATCCCCGGGCTGCAAGACGCCGACTCTGTGACCAGCCTCGTAGCCAACAGTGAGTATAAAACAGATGAAATGCATGCGCACAAGAAATACACTGTTGTTTTGAAACATGGAGAAATTAGAATGAACTCACTCTGTTTTAAGTCATAAAAATGTCCTAAAAATGTAAAGAACTTTAAGTAAATGTCTTGAATGTCATAGAAAATCCATTTAACAACAAAAAACATTGTAGTTCTTTTGGTTTTCTTTGACACACACCAATGTCTTAGGATTTATTTTACTATCTTTCATATTTTACAAAGTGAAGTTACACGTGTGCAGCCTTCTCCTGCAGAACTCATGACTAATCCGGACACCTTTCCTCTTCTGTCTGTCAGGCTGCCAGCAGATTGGTAGAAGGTGGTCCATCACCTTTGACGTGTCCTCCGTGTCTGCAGGTGACCACGTCCAGCTGGCTGAACTTCGCATCCGCCTGCCCGCCTTCACAAATTCCTCCAGCGCCTCTGTGGATGTCTACCACTCCCCAAAACACCGCTGCCCCGGCTGCCCAGACAGCAGGCAGCTCCTGGGCCGCCTGAGGGTTCAGCCCAGCTCCATGGCGTCTTCCTCCTCCTGGAAAGTGTTCAACGTGACGCAGATGCTGAGTCGCTGGCTGCAGCAGGAACACAGGAGTGAGGGGGTGGAGGTGCAGGAGGATGAGGCGGAGGGAATCCAGCACCCTATAGCTGACAGGGTCATGATGGTGGTGTTCTCGAGGCAAAGCAGTCAGCGGATGCTCATCCGTGTGGCGGAGCATTCCAAGTATGTCAACTTGGAACGAGGGATGGCCGCCACCAGGAAGAGGAGCCAGAGGGAGAGGAGGCACCACCAGGCCAGACAGAGGCAGGCTAGGATGGCCGAGCAGGAGGGCCTTCCCTGCAGGAAGGTGGACATGTGGGTGGACTTTGAGAAGCTCGGCTGGAGGAAGTGGATCGTCTATCCCAAACACTACAACGCTTATCGCTGTGAAGGGAGCTGTCCTATGCCGGTGGACGAGACCTTCAGCCCCACCAACCACGCATACATGCAGGTAGGACTGAAGTGTGTCACCAAACATGTCAAACCGTTTATACCTATCAATATTTGAAGACGTGTTCTAATCAACAGTTTTCTTTTTGTCTCTCCAGAGCCTGTTGGAGCTTTACCACCCGGACAAGGTGCCGTGTGTGTCCTGTGTGCCGACACAACTGTCGCCGATTTCCATGCTGTACTTCGAGGAGGGGAAGATGGTGATGAGGCATCACGAGAACATGCTGGTGGAGGAGTGTGGCTGCCAATGAGGGAACAACCTGCAAGCCTCTTAAAAAGGCTGGGACATGTCTGGACTGAAGCCCCTGAGCCATACAGGCCCTGCTGAGCAGCCACAGATCAAAGCTGCACAGGAACCAAGTGGATGTTTGTCCACAGGCACTTTAAAGACACTGAGACAGAAGCTGCTGCTGCTGTGAGGCCGGATATGAAACTCAGGGACTCAGGTACACTGCTCACTAAAGTATGAATGTTATAAATTATTGGTACCTTTTCTATGGTTCAGCCTTTTAATGTTAAAAAGAACTCAGGAAGCACAGCGTGGTCACTGACTGGATCACTAACAGACACCAGAACGTTCATGTTTTCATGCTTCAATTCAAAATGACACTGAAAAGACAAAACATCAGAGAGGTGGAAGCGCTTTAACTTTATGGAGAAGTTTGGGTCACATCGACCCGTTTGTTTGTTTTAATAAATTATTTATCTTGAACAAAGCGTTGGTTGGTTTTTACTGCAAGTATTTATGAGTTGAAAATAAAACTTTTTACAGTTAAAAAGGACTCAAGTCACTGTTATTTATAAGGCCGTTTTAAAACAAAAGTCCCTTTTAACAGAGTAATAAGACTGGTGGTAAGCATTTACTTAAAAAGTTTAAATATTAAGGTTAAGACCCTATTATTTAGAAAATAAATGTACTTATATAAATGCTACAGGTAAGACCTCACATTTTTATATAAAATTTAAATGGTTAAGACCCTACAATATTATATAAAATACAACGTTAGCAGTCTAGTTTAAATATTAAGGTTAAGACTATACAATAATATATATACTAAATTTACCAGAGTATTTTAACATTCAGGTGAACACCCTTCAATAACACATATTACATAAATACACCTGACTAATTTAAATAATAAGGTTAAACCCCTACAATATTATAATCAATACAGAATGACCAAACTAACTTAAATATTAACGTTAAGACTCCATAATGTTATTTATTACACCAATTTACACAACTGTTGTAAATATTAAAGTTAAAACCTCACAATATTATTTATCATACAAATCCAAGGTTAAGACCCCACAATAATATAACTTAAATATAAATAACCTACAATATTCTACACTTTGTTTTTTTGTGACTAGTTTAAAAGCTTAAGTTGATAACCTACCAAATATTACACAGAAAAGGAATAAACTCCAGCAGAACCAGAACCAGGGAGCGAGGACGGACATCTGCCTAAACCTGTCCTGGGTGAGGAAAAAGGAGAGAAAAAAGCAAAAGCAAAGACAAACAGACATCAAACATCTAAACTGGGAACTTGATTAGTTTAAAAAATGAAGAACACAAGTGAAATGAATAAATCATAACTGCATTCCATTTAGCTGTTCAGGGTCAAGGCCCTGCTGTTGTCACTGCAGGCTCACTGTCAAAGTGTTCCAGAAAAGCTAAATGGGACGCAGCCACTGTCAACGACGTTGGTATTTTTTAAAATTATCTTAAACTTGCTTTTCTCCTGTTAAACCTGTTCAAATATGGCTTAAACATGAAAGCCTGTTGTTTTCAGACATTTAAAATTTGTAAAACTATCCCCGAAGTGCTTTCACATTACATATTTGTTTTACGTAACGGCCGGTTAGCTGCTGCTTTGCTAAGCTAGCTCTACATTCCCCCTCAAGTCTACGGTGTGTATTCACATATTTTAGCGGCTTCTTCAACTTTTATGCCTTCAAACCTTACTATTCGGCTTCACATACTTCGGTTTTCTGCAAATAAACCCCCTTTAAACCCCTCCTTGCAGCTGCTTTAGCTTTAGCGGACCGGCTAATAGTAGCTAGCTGGTGAAGACAGTGGAGCATTTAGCAGCTAATGTCCCGGATGTATCCCTTATTAGTTAATAGAGATTAAAAGTACAGCTAGAAGTAGAGTGAAAATAGTACTTACGTTCATCAAATGGCCAGAAAAACGACTGACAACATGACTCCATGTGTCTTTGTGTGTATTCACCGACAGTTTGCCAATAAATTAACTTTATCAAGAATATTTCAGTGATGAAGTCGGTGTTTACAGCGTGTGTCTGCTGCCACCCAGCGGCCACAGTCTGTTACTGCAGGTTTGAATTCTTCACATACACACCAGTGTCTTTACAAAAACAATTAAATAAAAAAGGACTCCACAAAAAGAAATAAAATGAGTCAAGTCACATAAAATATTGGTTATTTATTTTTAACAAAAACTTTGACGTGTTTGTCCAACATGTCACAGATAATAATAAAGTCGAATGCCCTCAAAGTGAAGAAACAGTGTCGAGTACAGCATTTTAACACGTTAGGCATTATAAAAACATCCTGGGTTCAGAAAAAATCTGAAAGCAGATCAAACAAATGAGGCTTCTCATTTTAAGAGATTCTTTTTTTTTTTTTTTTTAAATCCTAGTAAACAAAAACTAAGAACATATTTTGCATCCTGACAGCTGCCTCTCTTCAGATGTCCATTTCAAACTGGTCATCTTCCCCTGCAACAGAAAAAAAACGTGCAGTTAAATACAAGAAAATAGACAATTACAGAAGCACAGCAGTTCCTCCCTGTTGCACATTTTAACCTGATGTCTACCTGTGCTCTCGCTGTGGTCGTTGTTCTTGCTGGGTGTCTGTTCGGACTGGGTCGTGCTGCTGGGGGAGTCGGGTTTGAGCGGCCTGGTGACTCCTGGGATGTCCGGCAGGTTGGGAGGCGTACGAGTCAGGGGAGACGTCCGACACTGCAGGAGGAACTTCCTGTCGTAGATGATTCTGGTGCCTGCAGGAGGCAGCAGCGAAGGAAAACCAAACCCTTCGTCAACATTTTGCAATTCCACACGTCACACTGTGCAATGACATTTTAAGAAATCAATGTTACAGTTGTGATCATATATCATACATATTGGGCGGCACAGTGGTTCAATGGCAAGAAGGTTGTGGGTCAGAGCACGCTGATGAGTCTTCCTGTGTGGAGTTTGTTCTTCCTGGGCCTGGATGGGTGTCGTCTGGGGGCTCCGGCTTCCTCCCACAGTCCAACAACGTGCATGATAGATTAACTGATCCATCCATCATCTCTACACCTTAATCCTCACTGGGGTCATGGGGGGCTGGAGTCTATCCCAGCTGACTCAGGGTGAAGGCAGGTTCACCTGGACAGGTAACCAGTCTATCACAGGGCTACACTTAGAGACAGACAACCAAGCACACTCACATTCACACCTACGGACAATTTACAATCACCAATTAACCTCAGCATGTTTCTGGACTGTGGGAGGAAGCCGGAGAACCCGGAGAGAACCCACGCTGCACGGGGAGAACATGGAGACTCCACGCAGAAAGACCACAGTCGTCCTACCATATGGGCCATGTTTAGAATACAATAAATCACATTTCCCCAGTTTAGTCGTGTGTTATATTTCTACACGGATAAAGTAATATAAAATAAATCTGGTAGACTTTACATTAGAGGTGCTATAAGGGTGCTTCTGGGCCCAACTCCCTTTCTGGGGCATTTAGAAAACTCTTCTATCACTGTGCACAAAAACACAAATGTCTGAAGCCAGATTTCCGGCCCGTGTGCTGCGACTCCAGGACAAAGTTCACATCATTCATCTGCCTCTAAAGCGAGTCTCTTGTCCTGTAGATGAACTCCAACTCCCCCGTCTTGGGCTGCAGCTGGCAGCCTTAGTCAGCTATCTCCTCATGCTCTGACTTTATGGCTTCATCTGCGGTGAGCTTGGCACAGCGGGACATGAATCAGTTCTCCACCTGCTGCAGGTTCTGGTCGAAGCGGAACAAGAACTGCAGCCCAGAGCGGTGGAGCTGGAGTCTGTCCACAGGATGAGACTCGCTGGAGAGGCAGCCGAGTGACACCAAAACTACAGAAGTGCCACAAAAGTAACTCGGTCAGCCTGCAGGGAGAGAAATACTTACACATATTACATTTAAATATCTGGATTTATTTCAAACTACAAGTAGAAAATAACACAAATCTGCCAACTTTGATGATGAAAACAGGATTTAAAAAGCTGCTTCTAACCTCAACTTGTATCGTAATAAAACATCTGCTCGACGTGGGTGAAGTAAGATAAAGTATTTAGTATTCACAGCATTCTGCAGACGTTCTTCTCTCTGTTTGTCCACCATACTGTGTCCATACGTGACCACTAACCCAGTTTTCCCGTCGCCCGTATCGGTGACGTTAACGCACCTCCAGCGACCCAGTTCTGTTTTTTATCTGTTCAAACACCTGCTGATGTCACAGGACACGCTATCAGCTACAACGGACATGTGCGTCTGCGTCCACTTTCTCACCACCAACATTTTCTTTGCTTTTGTCGCCATGCCGGCCGTTTCCCAAGGCCCCAGCTCGTCAGCGTTCGCGGGTCAAACGGGTCAAACGAGTCGTTGATGACTAACAGCACAGATGAACTCATGTCGACTGCATAAATAACTTTAAGAATTTTCTGGTTTCAAGTTGAACATTTCCTCCCCTTAATTACTGTTTATTTATGGAGTTTTATTGTCAAAAATTAAAACAGGGGCTTCAGTTTTGAAACACTGAGCAACTTTCTGTCCATCCACAGAAGAAATGCTGCGTTTTTACTGTATGAATCTTTAGTGTTTAGCTTTATTAGAACTAGTTTGACCAACATCCAGTCAACATGTTGCTGCTCCTCAACAACAGCCTGCTGTAATAACGCCGCTATAAATAGACGTGACCGACTCCGGTCCTGCATTTGAACTGACAGTCATTGACTGTGTGAGCAAGCAACAGCAACTCGCTGCCCCGAGTCATGATAACGACACTGAATCTACTGTTCACAGCCGAGTCCGAACCAGATTAAAAGTTTCTGCAGCAGGAACAGAGCGTCTGCCATCGTTTCAGGACGTCACAGTCTGGCAGTTAGAATGAGATGAAAAGATTTAGTTTGAGTTCTAATCATGTCTGACTTCTTCACTGGTATAAATGTTAAAAGAAAAATGCATCAAGAGGATCCAATGGATGCATGTGTGGAAATGAAGCCGTGTGTGGTTAAAGGGAGGCACATGGAGAAAACAGCTGATGGGTTCTGGTGGTCTTGAGCCTCCAGGAAACCCTGTCAAACATTAACAGGACAGCAGAGAGGACAAGAGCTCCAGCTTTGGACTTTTCTTTAGGATTAACTGCTCGGATGTCGCCAACATCTGGTCTGAAAGCTGAGAAATGACACGTCAGAATCTAGTCCTGGATGATTTGGTGACACTAGAAGTCACTGATGGTAAAAACAAGGCAGGTTAATAACGCAGGTAGCAGATTTATATTTAAAATAATATTAATTTATTCAGTTAAATGTTTAGTTTAAAGGCAGCAGAGATGTGTGATGAGGCTGAGCAGCATTTAAAGTTAAATATGAGTCAAATATTAGGATCATAACAACATCTCTGGCTCTAATCTCATCAACACGTTGTTCATGGTTCCCATTTAAATCTGTTATTTCTCATCTTACACACCATTTTCCTCACATGATATAATTTCTAATCAGACAAACAGACAATATGTGTTTAATTTCCACCTGATCCTGCTCGTTATTACCTCCCGGCGTGGTGCTGAACAGAGTCCCCCCGGGGGTCGTGGAGTAGTCCTGGGGCATGTGAGCCGCATCGTGGATGGCGACCCTCCGGACGGCTGGGATGTCCCGGCTCCTGGTGGCCTGTCCTCCCGCTGACATCGCTCTCAAACACCGCGTCGGCTCTTCGGTGCTTCGGTAACGGCTGCTCGTAGCGGCGCTGGCGGTGGTGAGGAGGTTATAAAGCTGCAGCAGGTACCTGGTGCCTCCACGTGGTCTGAGCAGACCCAAAACAACCCGGGACTTCCGACAAAACATCACGTGGAGCGGCGGCCTGTGATTGGCTGAGAGCGGGGGGCGTCACAGGCGGTGGAAGTTGTAGTTTTCTGGGGTCAAACTCAGGCGGCCTGATAATTAAACAGTCTGAATAAAACTGGACAATAAATCCAGAGTGGACAAATTATACAAGACATGCTTCATGTGAACAAATATAATAAAATGGATAAACATCAATAAACCAAATGTTTAAAACCAGAAACAGTTTGTACACAGACCAAGAATCTGACTCTTTGCTTTCAGCAGGTTAACCAACAGTTAATCAACTTCACAAAATCAAAAGCAAACACAGAAGTATTCGCATGATCAATGATCTATTTTACAGGTATTTTCCTGAACTTCCCTGTAAAGGAACTGATAGTCGACTGGAAACTAAAGACTGTGTAATAAATGTATTATAGTAGTTTCAAGAGCAATAACTGTTCAAACATGAGGGAAACTCTGAGAATCATGAGTTTAAATGATTAGTCAGAAAACAAAAGAATTATGTGCAGCTATTTTGACAAACTATAATTCATTTAAGATTAATCAAACATATCCAGCTGACCTGTGTATAAACGTCTAAATCACATTTTTTCCTCCCTTTACTTCCTGTGTCTTATTTATATGACAGGTAATGACATAGTGTTAGGTTTTGGATAAAACAAGCAAATTGCACGTTTTGTCGTCCCAACAATAAATCAATTAATCAAGAAAGTAGCTAACAGGTTAGCAGGGGATTAGGTTGCTGCTCGATTTAAAGTTATCGTTAGTGTCATTTGGCCATTCCCTGCATTGACTAAAACATCATAAAGAAGCCGCATTCATCTGGTCCATGCACTGGTAACAAAGTCTCAATAATTATTAAGACAAAACTGTAATTTAACTTTAACTGAAATCTCCTCATAAATGCCTGAACCTACAAATTAAAGCATTACTCAACAAATATACCACATTAATTCAGATTTACAGTCGACTTCACGGCAGTCCAGGACGGAACATTCTGGTGCAGACGTGAAACTTCACCACGACAACGACACACAGCGTTTTTATGTCACATCTTTGTTTATTAATTCTTGTAAATGGTTTGAGCTGGTGTACAGGGTAAGATGATCTATACATATCTTCATGTCAGAACGACTCTGATTGAAAGGCTTGTATACATATTCACGTTTGTTTATCCTCTCTCCGGGACAATACAAAAGAAAAGAAAACAAGTGGTCATAGCTACAAAGCCTCTACATTCCCCATGATGTGGGCGTTGGCCTAGTCTAGATAATGCTTAAAGAACATCCATAACAACTCTATGAGGGTGCATAGCATTCTAATTAAATATATTTTGTCATATATTTATACATATATTTTCATAAAAACATCTTTTTTGTGCATGTGCGCAGTTGCATTCCTTAGGATAGAGTAATATGATATTGCGTTTACATTGTCATGTATCCATTCTAAAGGAGTATAGGTGATCTCTAGTCTTTGCAACAGGTAAAATTTTACAATACTCTTTTTTTTTTTTCTCTTTTTTTTTTAAATACATCGTCGTAGGTTACACGTCCTCTCAAGTCAAATGCTCTCCTCTACCCTCTGGTCCGACGAGGTTTTTAGAACCGAGCATCGTCGTCGTCACACACTCGCACTCACACGCTGAACACACAAACAGGGTGGAGGTGAATCCATCAGAGTGCACGGGGTCGCCGACTGGTTCAGTCCAGACAGGAAAAGGTCAACTCAGAGCGGAAACAGGTTTACGTAAAGCTACATCGACTCACTTGGTGGAGTGTCGTTTTTTTAAAAATTTCTCCACGTCTGGTCGTTTAACTGTAAGATAAACGAGGAAAAACCACTAAAGTCAAAGTTATGATCCTTAAGATTTTAGTTCTTGGGTGACAACTCTCCCAACGATACCCAGAAACCTACATCACACTTTTATTTGGCAACAGAAAGCTGAATGTTTGGTGTCCCTGTCTTGTTGCATTGCAGGTAAACTGCACCGCCTGCATGATGTGTTTAAAGCTCAGCCCAACAGACAGACTCAGGACTGACGTGCATGCATCCATCTGCACCACACGACACGTTTCCTTTTCTTCATGCTACATAATTTAAATCTCCACCACGACGACACACAGAGACACGACTACAGAATGCAGATCTATGCGACGGCTACATGGCTGACCGGAAATAGAAATAAACGATGTAAATCTTAAGGATTATAACTTCAACTAAGGAGTGCATTTTCTTGAAAATGCCTAAATCCAACCTCCTTCTTGTGCTGATACAGTACAGTCCTTCAAATCGTAATGACGGTGAGTTACTTCACTGATTGTGGGAGTCACTGCCCTGCTGAGTAAATACAGACAGTGGGCATCTTGTTTCTCCTCTGGTGGGCTCAGATTGAACAGGTGATCTGATAGGATTAAAAAGAAATAAAACCCCTACATGAATTAACTGAACTGGTCTGGACTTGTTTACGCTTCACCCGGTTCCTTCTGGTGAACCGGCGTTATTAAAAACAAAGAGAGGAGGCTGCAGGAGACTCTGTGTCCTTTTTTGGTCTCAATCAAACCCACACATGCACCCATTCTCACAAACACACCTGCACACAAACCACCAAAAAAAACCAAACCCCAAAACAAATCCCACCCCGAATGGCCCCCAAAGTCTGAAGCACTCACTTCGCGTACACCACACTCGTCGTCGAGAGGAGGACTCGGAACTTAAAGACGAAAAACGTTTTGTTTCTGACAGAGCAGAACTGAAAACCTGAGTGGAGTAACAGTGGAAAACGTGATATGTAGAAAACATGTGCTATATATCTGGATGGGCTTCTCATGCGCGGGCCGGGCATGGGAAGTATGTGCATTGGTGTGATGCGTAACTAAAGTGTTCGTCCACTCACTCGGTGTCTCAGTCATTCAGGCTACAGTAGCATTTACAGTACTTATGGGATCAATGGTGAGATGTGTGCTACTATGAGATAACCCCTTCATAGTGCTGCCGTCAGGTTTCTGCATAAAGAGATGAGCGGTGGGTGACTTACAGCGACGCCAACACCAACAACTTAAAACTACTCAGAAGTAAAGTGGAGTTCAGTGGATCCCACCTTCACGGCAGCAGCGAACTCCTTAACAGGTATCAGAGAAATAAATGAACGTATCCTGGTTTATAATTTTGCTACGTTAAGTGCTGAAACACAAACAACCCTCTCAGGCCTCCACAGTCCCACACTGCTACAGCATCTGAGTCATCTGATCCTGCGTCACAATGTCCTTTCTGACTCATTCACTTCAAGGTCGACGGAGCCGGTCGGATACAGCCGCACTGCCAAACGCTGCTCGTCCAGATGGAGGTCCACGGAGGAGTTCGGTCGTCTTTCCTGTTCAGATCCTCAGACACCTGGCTTCCACGTCTCGGTAGGAATTATTGCTGTGGCAAACTGTCTGACACTCCGACCAGGCGAGAAATATGTGTGTGTGTGTTGTCTGGATGTGTGTGTTAATGTGTATGTGTGTGTGTGTGATTTCTACGAGTGTGTGTCTTGACAGTTCACGAGTCTGGGGTCAGTGTTGATAAGACAATCACAGTGCTACCTGTCTGTCCTCGCCGCACACTTCCTTCGATGCGACTTTACATTTCATCAGATCCTCTACGGTTCCTCCACTTCATTCACTGTTCCAAGTGAACGACCCGAAACTCAGACAGTGAGGTGCTCCTCCAGCCGTTTGCAAGCAGATAGAAGAGAGAGCACGAAAAGATTCCAACAACAAAAAAAAAAAGGTAGTGATCACTGGATGGAGGGCCTACGATCGGATGCTGATGAGAGAGGCCGGTGATGTTACTGCATATGGACGGAGGCTACTGATAGAGGTCGTGGATCGAGGTGACGCACGCTACTGGGAAAAAAAAACGATGGAAGAACGTAGAAAAGGTCACAAGAGAGGAAAAAGTCAAGCTTTGCGTTGCAGAGCTGCTGCACAATGCAATCGAGCGATCAACCTTATTTCCAAAGAAAACATTCCCGTCGTCTGAAGACACGTTTCCCCTGAAACCACGAGGAGCGATAGAGGCTCAGCTCTCTACCGACGCCAAACAAAGCTGAGAACCAAACGTGGACGGGTTCCAAAGAAACAGGCCGACAAGAAGCGAGCTTCGTCCACAAAGGAGAGAAAACAAATAAAAAGACGTAGGCACACGCAGACGAGAACTCACGAGCAGTGGAGCACAGCGGCTTTCTCATTCCAGCGCTGAGCACGCCGTGACATCACAGGGACAACAAGCCAATCATGGGGCAGGGCTCAGCGCCAAGCCAGAAGCAAGAAACACATGCGGAAGAGAAGAATACACGCACACATACGCACACATACACACACCGACACATGTCCACGTAGCATAGAGTGCATATATCACATTGAGATAACAGGGAAAGGGTCCAGTGACAGAAGCGTCGGGAGGCTCAGCAGAGGCTTAGCTGTGTACAGAACCATCCATTGAGGGACTTTTTTTGGCTGCAGTGTTATTGGACTCAACTCGCTGACACAAACCAGTCCAGTCGGGGAGAGAAAGGTCCTTAGAAAGGCCTGCGGCCCCGGCGTGGGCCAGCCCCGTACCTTGTACCCCTTCAGTTTGTAGATAATGACAGTTCAAAAGGTCAAAGGGCATGCACCAGCAGTCATCATGCGATTACAGTTCACAGGAAGCACTTTGTTGCTTTTTTCTTAGTTGTTTTACTAACATTTATGTTTTTTATAAAAAGAAAAGAATCGTCATGCCTTAGTCTAGTTGATATTTTTCTTTACAAAGATTATAAAACTACAAGTTGAACTCTTTTTTTTTTTTTTCTCCTCTTCTTTTGTTTCGTGGTGCTCCATGGTCACAGGTTGAGGATGATTCTGTTTGTCATCTGATAGTTTGCACATCTTTGTCCTGGTCTTTCTCCGCTCCCTGCTCATTTTCCTCTGCGGTCCGGTCGTGTTTTTGTGGAGGATG